CTTTTACTATTTAAAATAGTAAAATTTTTCTAAACAATATCTTGAAAGTCATTTGACCCAATTGATTGTTTTTGATTATCCAATTTTTTTTTGATATAAGAATAAGTATAGTGATATAAAGATATATACTCTATTTAAATAATTCAAATTCTATGCACAGTACTTATTATACTTGCCAGTACTAGGCTATATATGTGTCTTACAGGTTTTTCAAAATCAATATTATGCACAGTACTTATTAGACTCACCAGTACTAGGCTATATATGTGTCTTACAGATTTTTTAAAATCAATATCATGTACAGTACTTATTAGACTTACCAGTACTAGGCAATATACGTGTCTTACAGATTTTCCAAAATCAATATATCTAATTTTACAGCATGCTTAACAATTATTTCTATGCCATTGTCAGGCTAATTACAAGACTTATTGCTATCTCAAATATTTGTTTCTCAAATATTGTTGTTTCTTCAATAAAATATTTAATCAACTATTTTTGTTTTTAAAAAAAATAACAAAATAATATTAGAAATATCAGACAAAAAGACTAAATAAAATATATATATATAATTTTTTGTAATTTTTTTTTTGAAATATAAATAATAATAACAATACTAAAATAATAATAATAAGAAATAATAATATATATAGTTATAATAATAAAAATAAAAACCAAAATAAATAGTTTTTTTAACAAAGACACTTTTCAGTTAATACAAAGCTTTTAATTTTCATGTGTTGACAAAGTTTAACTTTTCTCAGAACTTGTTTAAGAAGTCTATCTTGAGATTTTTTAGTTTTAGCCTCATAGAGTTTGTAAAAGTCTCTATTTAAGTTTTGAAGAGGAAGAGGTAGATTAGAATATAAAAAATGCTGCATATCATCTAAGATAAATAGAACTTTTTTTAATCTAGATTGATTAATCCTAAGTTTTAGTAAGTGTTCAATTTGTTTTAATCTAATATTAATTAGATCTTTAATGTAGTAGGTAGGAGGTTTTCTATTTCTTCTGGAAATTGGATAAAGGCTCTTCTCATCAGAAAAATCAGGATCCCATACATCAGATAGTTCATCATATCCTGGAGCTTGGCCAGAGGCAATTACAGTTTCTTCAATAATTCCTCCAGAATCGTTGTGCACATGAAATACATGATCATCACATAGCTGTATTGATAAGTTGTGCAGTGGCA